TAGTTCGGTTTTCAGTTTTCGATATTCAAAGTAAACCATCCGAGTGTCCATATGAAAAACGGTAAAGCCAATTAATACATTTGGACTTAGTCTTAGGAATAGTTTAAAAATCTGTGATTTGCACTCGTCCAAAAATCGGAACGAAAACTGAAACGTGTATGATATGTGTGGCTTCCCCTTTCCAATCACTCACCGATCCGATTATTTGGTCATCGACGGAAGGTTCTCTGATCGGAGTCGGATCAGATAGATGTGTACCGGCCTTTATATCGGCACTACTGAAGTCTGTGCATACACAACATTTAAAAATCGCCTCTTAACTATCTATTCCAGGCGCTCCTCCTGGACCATTCTACATCCACTTCAAAGCAACCAGCGTTTTGACCGCAGTTAACAATGTTTATCCCTCAGACACCACAGGGTTCTCCATGAACTACGAAATAACCAGTTGCTCTTAATCTACCAGCTTGAAATAAATCGTTTCCAGCTTACTAGTTGTTTGTGTTATTTCTTCCTCATCCATCCTAGTTTGGAAACCGGCCACATATTAAACCGCTGGACTTTTCAGCCCCACAGGGTGCCATCCAGTTCTTCGGCGATACGACTGGTTGGGTCAAATCGTTTGGGTACGACCCCATTGGTGGCAGCCAATATTCTACACGGCTGCACTACAGCATAGCGTTTCGAAGAACTGCCTCCTCATGTAGCATCAAGTGAGTATCCATCTGGTCTGAGTACGCTGAATGCCGTTGGTGCAAAGCAAACGGTCTTTGAACCGAGCCCCGCATGAAATTTCAGAGTTTTCCAGTTTTAGCAAAGTTACTCTTCTTTCGAAAGATTCACCTCAAAATACTGGCAATTTTAAGGTATTTTCCGCGAAAAATTATGAAATATATTTTATTAGAACAGTCGCCTCCTTCGTCGAAAACGTCTGAAGACTGTAGAGTTTGTTTAAAAAATGTGGTTTTTCAGTTTTGGCTGAATTTGTTTTGCTTTGCTTTCTACTCAAAAACGCTCTGTTTTGTAGAGTTTTACTTTAAAATACTGACGATCTGGATGTATTTAACGCGAAAAATTACAAGATATGTTTATAGCTTGGTAGAAATTTTACAGAAACGTTTTTTGGAGTCGAATTGGGACCAAAACGAAAATAAATTGTCCCGTTATATCCCGCCAATCATTAATACTTTCCCAAAAACCGATCACAAAACTAAAAGTTTTTAATCAAAAACGCAGAAAAAAATAATTTTCTGATGATTTTGCCTCATTGCAAGGAACTTTAAAAACCCATTTTCAGCTTCGAATTTGGCACAAAAACCAAATAATTTAATCCAGTTTTTACCGAAAGTATCTAAGATTATCTTGAAAAAAACGGTCAGAGGAAAAGTTTCTAAAAAGTTATTTGGAAAATTCGCCACCCTCGTCGATCTGAAGATTTTTCAGTTTCTTTAAAATTTCAGGTCATTCCGGTTTTAGTTTCTATTAAGCAATTAAAAAACATTTCATTTTTACTTAAAAGACTGACAATCTTCAGGTATTTTCTGTGAAAATTATAAAATAAATTTTATTGGAACACTGGGCTCCTGAACAGCTTTTTAAAATGTTTTCTGCAATCTTTTGCTGCTTCGAATTTTGGACAAAACTCCAATCATTTTTGCTGGATTTTTTCCCAAAAATATTTTCCCGAACAGAACAAGTGAATGTTTATAACCAATTATTCGGAAAACTCGTCACTTTTGTCGCTGTGAATAA